CACCTCCTGTCACGATATCAGTCACCGAGAGGGTGGGAAAAGGCCAGACCCTGTGGCCCTAACCCTTCACCACCATCGCCCACCCTCCCCTCCACAATGGGCGTGAGTCTTGTTGCTCTTTTCCGGTGTAACTTAGGTTGCAGGTGCAGTCCGGCCAGTGTACAAACCAGATCCCCTGACCCCCATCCTCCCCAGCCCTTGACACCCATCGTTCATCCCCATCAGCTCCTCACTGGCCCACACTAAACATCTAAGATATGGCAATCAGATGGAAACTGACTACAGACACGCTATGATGCAGTACAAGTTATTTGAGCTCAGTTTCCACTGCAAGTGGTTTGGTGGTTAAAGTGTTGAGGCGAGTATATAAATTGCACAGGTTTATGCTGTCGTGAGTTGTGCCTTTCTTTGTGTAACAAACGGATCCAGGTCCCTTATCCTGCAGCAAATCCATCCAACGCTCTCGCCCTCTCTCCTGGATTTGCTAACAACATCCACCACCCAAGATCATCACCTGCCACTGAACCACACTGGACAATTCTGTGCGATGGCAATTTTTATGCTGAATCAATCCGCTTTGTGCTGTGGTTCTGGGTTCAGCAGCTGAGGCTGTGGTTGTTACAACTAACAGCTGACTGACAGCAGAGACTTCATTTGAGCCCAGGTCCCGGAGGTGAAAGGCACAGAGTCTAACCTAAACTCAACATGCACACAGACAGACACAAACTGCCAGGTCAGTACAGCTCATGCATATGCCACTCACTCACACACACACATACATATATATATATATACATGCACCCTCCAATACACACACATATTCACACATCATACAAATATATGCACTGGAGCTGAGTGGGAAGGTTCTCTGCCCCCAGTGACTGGTTTCCTCTTTCAGTAAAGATCACACACGCAGATACAAATAGACATACATGCAAATACAGACGCATAGAAACATATGAGTACACACACATACACGGCACACACACACACAAGGGCGGGTTCAGCCTTTATTCCCTTACACGTCAGGCAGTCGGGGTTGGGCAGGAATATTTAGTGTTTTGATGTGTCGGGGGAAGGATTGGAAGAATTTCAGGAAGTAAAACCTGATCCACTTCTTGCTGACATAGAGAACAATCTTACTATCTGCCAGTTACAGTTCTCCTTTCCTTGAACAAAGATGTCTCCAGAGCAGGTCCCCGGGAGACAAACCCAACTCTGAGCTTAACGCCGCAAACACAGAAACAGTTTCCAACACAACAGGAAAGTGTGCAGAACAGTACGAGGCATATGTTTTCCACTGTACTCAGGTCAGAGCAGGGCAGACCCACACAGCCTGTCCTGTCCCCACAAAGAAACCCAGGAGATCTCTCTCCCCTTTCCTCCCCACAGGCTGTAGACCTCAGGAACATAGGAATAGGAGGCCATTCAACCCCTCAATCATATTCCACCATTCCATTAGATCATGGCTCACCTACATCTCGACTCCAATTACTCCTTTGCCTCATCAATGTTAACTTAATTTTATACGTGAGGAAGCCGTCCACACAGAGCACAACCGTCTTGGCTCAGCCTGGCTCAGTGGTAGCGCTTTGTGGGTTCAAATTTGTGGGTTCAAGCCCCACGTTGGGGCTTTCAGTGTAGACTGACCCTGCAATGCAGTCCTGGGGGAGCGCTGTATTGGGAGGTGCCGAACTTCAGGTGAGACATTAAACCGAGGTCCTGTCTGTGCCTATTCAGGTGGACATTAAAGATCTCATGGTGCGACTCAAAAAGCGAAGGCACTTTCTCCCAGTGTCCTGGCCGACAATCCCCCAGATAAAATGAGTCACTCGCTCCACGACTGTTTGTGGGATGTTGCTGCGCGCAAGTCGGCTGCCAAGTTTGCCGACAAAACCCTTTACAGTAAAAACGCTCTGAAGCGGTTCAAGATATCCTCCGATAGGAAAGGCACGAAATCAAACGTACAGAATATGGCTATCACTTACCCACAGGCGCTGAAGAGCCTTAACCAGCGCAGGACAATAGTAGTATTCCATTTCGAGTGAGCGTGTGAGTCTGTCTGTGTGTTCAAAGAATATAGTTCAGCTCAGGCACCAAGTCACTCCCAGCTGAAGGAGAGTAGAGTGCGGCAAAGTCAGCAAACTCCCTTCCACACACGTAATGAACGGAGTGAGCGATGCCAGCAGCTGATGGTCACAGCACAAGCGGTTCTCTTTCCGCCCCCTCCCTTCACAACATTTCCCCTCGCCCCCACCCCCTCCCGCCGAGAGGTTCACATGACACACAACCAGGAACTAACTCGGTTCAGTTCCAGCCAACTCCACACGTAACGGAACTCACAGCTTCAGCCCGACTTCCTCAAACTTGACAGAAACCAGTTCGCCACATGCAAGACATGCACACGGGGGGCAGGGAGAGGGGGAGGTGCTGGGAAAAGGGAGGGGTGGGCGCGGAGGCTGGGAACAGGGGAGGTGGGTCAGTGAGGGGGGAGCGGTTGGAGGAGGGGTGGGGTTGGGTGTGGGTTGAGGTTCTCTCGGGAGTCAGGCAGAAGGTCCTGAAACGAGCGTGAAACAATAATCTGAGGTATAGGAGCGCTCGTGACGCCGTGATGCTGCCCACAGCTAAACCAAGCTGAAATGTCACACTTCTGATCGCCAACCACAAGTCACCCTCTCACTGCGGCTCAAGATACTGCGCTCTTCTCACCAGGGGGGTGAAGTGACGGACGATGATAACTCGATGTAGCGCCTTGCCACGTCTCAAAGAGATTCGCAGAATGTATGCGAAAGAAAAGGCAGGGCAGTGGGGATTGAGAGATCTGCTAGTACATTTGGCAGAACAGGCTCGATGGGCTGAATGGCCTCCTGTTCTCCTGGGTAATATCCCTGTGTGGTTGGGTTACTTACCGAGCTGCCGCCAACTAGTCGTTTGATGAACTATTTACTCACAGCCTCACCCTCCACACACTCTGTGATGTCACAGTAACGGGATCAATGTCAATGACACTCCTCATCAGTCATCTCAGGGTGGGGCAAGCGTGTGTCAGTGTGTGTGTGTGCGTGCGTGTGTGTCAGTGTGCGTGTGTGCGTGTGTGTCAGTGTGCGTGTGTGTCAGTGTGTGTGCCAGTGTGTGTGTGTGCGTGCGTGTGTGTCAGTGTGTGTGTGCGTGTGTCAGTGTGCCAGTGTGTGCATGTGTGTCAGTGTGCGTGCCTGTCAGTGTGTGTGTGTGTGTCAGTGCGCGTGTGTGTGAGCGTATGTGTGCACGTCAGTGTCTGTGCGAGTCAGTGTGTGTACACGCGAGTCAGTGTGTGTACACGCGAGTCAGTGTGTGTACACGCGAGTCAGTGTGTGTACACGCGAGTCAGTGTGTGTGCGCGCGTGCGCGGGTCAGTGTGTGTGAACCAGTGTGTGTGCGAGAGAGACACATGGAGTTAGTGACCAGCTGCTCAGGGAGGGAGCCATCACTTCATGTCCCACCACTTGGTCTGAAAGCAGGAATGAATAAGAAGGAATAGGATGGGAAAAGAGGGATGAGAAGGGGGAAGCTGAGAATCCACAGTAATAGGGAGGCAATAGCGGCTCTCAGTTAAACACTGCCACCTGCCGACAGTAACATGTCACCACTCAGACACTCGCAGACTCGTGTTAAAACATTCCCAACTCAGTACTATCCACAAATTTTACATTAAAATCAAACGGTCCGACACACTGGTAATGATAATCCTTGTATTTGATATAGCGCTTTATCACGTCGCTGAGATGGCTCAAAGCGCTTCACAGAATATACTGCAAAGGGTACTTTGTGGGCGAAACACGGCATCCAATTGTGCACAGCGCTGTGTGCCACAAACAGTCGTGGATTGAAGTGACCAAATTATTTTCGATACCCCAATCCAGGAGGAAAGAGAGAGTTCCCATTATCATTGCTGGAATAAAATCTAGGAAGGTGACAGCCTTTCCCCAACCTCTCTAAAGTAGCTTTAACGTCATAATAAATAATCCTTGCATTTGATACCGCACCTACAGTATAACATCGAAACATCACAAAGAGGGAATTGTTGCCAACTGTAGTGACTGTAGTTGTGCACAAACAAAGCAACTAAATTGCATGAGACAAGGTCCCACATTAAATGAATCAATGATTAATCGAGAGGATCATTCGCCAGGACGCTGAGAGAAAACAAACACCCTTATTAATAATAATTAATAAGTAAATCACAAACCACATAGACTTGGTTGGTTAATAAACCATTAAACCCATACGTACACTGAGTTAACCCTCCTCAGGTTTCTGTGGGCCTTTGTTGGCAGTTCTTTGTGATTTGACCGCATCCTTCACTTCACAGACAATAAATCTATCAGATACAGTGTTCTGTGTGAGGTTCAGGCAACTGCACGCAAATACCTCGAGTACATACCCCATATACACCTCCCGTACAAACACAGTACCAGGTACAAAACTCCGAATCCTTGCATTTGATACAGCGCCTTATCGCACAGTCGAGACCTCTCAAAGCCCTTCACATACTGTAAAGTGAATTGATTGTACATGTTGTGGGTGAAATGCAGCAGCCAGTTTGCACACAGCAGCGTCCCCACAAACAGCCATGGAGTGACTGACCAATTTTATTCAGTCGCTCGCTTTATTTTATTTTTGGGGGACTGTTGACCAGGACATCGGGAGAAAGAAACTCCCTTCTGTTTTCGAATAGCGCCGCGGGATCTTTAACATCTGAACAGGCAGACGGGGAGTTCGGTTTAACGTCTCATCCAAAGGACGGCACCTCTGGCAAAGCACTACCTTCCCAGCATTGTACTAACTCCTGTACTAACACAGCGCCATATAAAACCTCCTCCACAAACACAGCACCACTTAGAGCATCCGTAGCAACAGACAGTCATATGGTTTAGGCAAAACTCTCACCACAACAGCGCTGAGCTCATTAACACAGACACCATTTTTGCCAGCAAATCTAGAAACCATTTCTCACTCCTCACCGGCTCCTGCTTCTTGCGCCATGAGGGCGTTTCCTCCTCAATCCGTCTCCGGGGTCTCGCCACGGCCTGCAGCATATCCTCCAATCTCCTGCGTGGGCTCTGCGTACGGACCGTCTCGGGGGGCACCCAATCCACCGCACGCGACTCCTCCTGGACACACAGCGGAGCAGAGCGGTCAATAAGAATAATATTAATAATCTTTGCATTTGGTACAGCCCTTCATCAAGTATTCGGGGACTTAGCCTGCGCTCTGATACACAGCAGCTCCGAACTTACCTTCTTATTCTGCGAGGTCGTCTTCATCGCTCGGAACAGGACGTCCGTCACCTGGTTCGTACCCTTGCTCGGGGAGCAGCTCCTTGCTCCCCAGCCTCTCTCGATGTCTAGCGCCTCCTGCTGCCGGGTTGAAGGACTGTCTGTGGTCCGTTGGCCGATTTCCACGGGCCTCGTCTTCCTGATCTCCGGGTGGGGCAGGTGAATGGGCAGGAGGTTCTCATCGCTGTAGCTGAGAGACTCTTTACTCTCCACCGATCTATAATCTATTTCCACGCATCGCCAGTTACTATCCAGCTGTGAGCTGCCGTTTATTCCTCTCCCCGACCCGGGCAAACTGTGACTTGGTTTTGAGCCAGGAGCCAACAAACAGTCCAATGGACTAGGTTTGGTGTCAGGCCAATGAACCTCTTGAGAGGAGGTCTCAATGAGAGGGATTTCCGGTTTGCTTTCTCTGTGAAGAATGTCGCTCCGGTGCTCGCTCTTTCTGGCCCTCGCTGCCCGCTCGTTTCTCTCCTCCTCTCTGTGCTTTGCCCTCGTGTGGTTTGGCTCTGGCTTCCGACCACCCACGTGGACCTCAGTCTCTCCCGACTCCTCTTGTTGCACTTTCGCTTCTGGAAAGGCCGAGGGCAGCCTGCCTCTCCTTCTCTCGCTCTTGGCCTCTTGGTCTCCGCTGGTGCCGAGGCTGGAGTCATCTTTGCTCTCTTCCTCGAGCCGTTTCCTGCTGCGTTGGGTCCTGGCGAAGCTCTTCATCTCACCGGAGGCGGACGGTGAGATCTTTCGGGCTATTGGCAGAGCCTTCTCATCTTCAGCCAACCTCGCCTCCCCGCTCTGCCCGGCTCTCTCCTTGAGGTTTAGCCCTTCTTTCCTATATGCCACCATCAGGACATCGAGGTCGAGGACTTTGTTCCTCTGCGGATCCCTGTCGCGAAGTGTTGCTGAGCCGTCGTTCTGCTGATCTGAAGAGAACGAGACCTTCTGGCTCTGCTCCCTGTTACTTCCCAGCCTTTGGCTGCCGGGTTTCTCCCAGTCTCTTTGGTACAAGTCGTCCTTGGTCTGACTGGGCCGAGACCTCATCGCTTCTTCCTGTTTGGTCTTCTCCTTCCTGTACTCCATCATCAAGGCGTCGAGATCCACCACCGTGTGTCGGTGACGGTCCTTAGCACTTCGAGTTTTCCTCACCTTGTCCTGAGGCTCAGACGTCTCGGTGCGTTTGGAAGCTCTCGGGACTCGGAGCACGACAGCAGCGTCCTCACTCCCAGCCTCGTCCCTGTCCAGGAACTCTTCTGACAGCAGCGTTTTCCTGGTTCCTTCCCGGGACGCAAGTTTGGGGCTTTTCTCGATGGATTTCACCGAGTTTTCCTCCGGGTAATTATCTCTCCGTCTCTCGCCCGGTCGGCTAGCAATGGCGAACAAGTCATCGGCTCGCTTGGCCGCACGAGGTTGAGCCTCAGCCATGTACTCGGCCATTTGCCCCGTTACTGCGAAGATCGTCGACCTGGATTCCGAAGAGGGGCTTTTCTTCCTTGTCCTCCTCTCCGCCCCCTCCCTTGGGACCCCCAGTTTCGTGGTCCCATCACCTGACAAGGAAACCTGCGGCTCTTTCCACATTTCGATGTCTTTTCCCCCTTTTGTGATGAACAACCCCGAGGCTCCCAACACCTCCTCACCCCTGGGGATCTCCTTGGGCCCGCTGCTGGCCCCCACGTCCAGCCCGCTGTGAGAACCAAGTGAGGTCTTCTCTAACCGGCTCCTTCCAGAGTCCGAGACTGGGTTGACCGTTCTCACGTCCTCTCTCTTGCGTTGGCCAGTTCCAATGGGGTCGGGCTTCACTTCGGTATTTTTCTCCAGGATCGTGATGGGCTCAGCGTGAAGCAGAAACTTCAACGGTCTCCTCCTATCGGAGAGGTCCTCGTTGTGGCTTTGCTCCACTGGGGGACGGGACCTCCTGCTCCTGAGGGGTATAGCCTTGTCCTCGCAGGTTGGGAGGGAGCAACTTATGGCCTTCTCACTCAGCGTTTGCAAGATATCCACCTTCGCTTCAATTTCGCCAACGTTCATTAACGAGAGCAGGTCAGAAACCTTTGGCTGCGGGGCTTGAGCATGTCTTTCCTCAGACACCTGCACGGCACACTTCTCCTCAATGATTGGACCTTTCTTCCTCTCTACGGGGGCAGCATCAGACTCAGAAAGCCTCTCTTTATGGCTCTCCCTCTCCCGGCGTTTAACCTCTGTGGCTTTCTCTGAAGTGTGAGCCTTGACTCTCGAGTGTATATCCCTCCCTGTGCCTCTGTTCTGATCAGCGTCACTGTGCAGCGAGGGCAGGGCTGGCTCCGAGCGCTGGGGCTCCGGCACTTTGTGACGCTCAATGTGGTTGTCAATCAGCGAGACCCTCACAGCCTTTACACTGGAGTCCGAGTCAGAGGTCCAGCTGCTGGCCGGCTTCTGCTCCGAGCAGTCAGTATCCACTCGAGACACAGAAACCACAGTGAATGGGATGTCTCGGTCCAGCCCGTCCCCCCTCCTCTCCCGCTCTCTGGTGAAGCTGCTTTTTACACCCATCTTCTCCGGGGTCATTTTCTCATCCCCGATCCCTCTGCTCATTCCCCCCACAGACCCTCGCCTCCTCCAGACAAACTCCTCGTAGGGATCCAGGGTGTGCAAGGGCTCGGTCTGCGCCTGGAATACACAGAACATTTCATAAGATTCTATAAAATGTTATAATTTTATAACTGTTTGTGGGACACTGCTGTGCGCAATTGGCTGTCGCATTTCGCTCACAAGACACATAGCCACGACACTTTACCGTATATTCTGTGAAGCGCTTTGGGACATCTCGAAGTCATGATAAATATAAATGCAATTTGTTGTTGCTGTTGTTGTCCTGTTACTCCACACTGCTCTGCAGTTGTTTTTGTCCAGCTGAGGCAGGAAGGGAGGGTTGAGTTTAAAATAACCTCAGGATGAGGGGGTCCTCCAAAACCAACCGAGAGATTCCGAGCTCCTGATCTTCCGTCCCAGAAAACAAGCGTTACCAACTGAGCCAAACTGACACCTGAGGTTTTAGTTTCTAAGCAGCAAAGTACAATACGGCCGATTACCTGGTTGCGTTTTCCTGGCTTCTCTCTGGCTCGCTCCCGCTCGGGCCTGCTTGAGGCTGGATGTTCCTGATACGTGGAGTTGGCTCGTTCCATTTGCTTTTCATCGTCCTCATCAGCTGCTTCAGTCAGAAACCTGCAGGAAAGTTTGTTCAGGACATCGTTAAGCGAGCCACTTTAGTGAGTCCAGACCCGACCCTGTGAGATCGGACAGGAGGCTGGAAAACTGGGAAATAAGACAAAACCGGTCAACAATTCAATCCCCAATCTGTGAGCTCTCTGATCATACCCAGGAGAGCAGAAGGCTACAACTGGGCTCAGTGCCCACAACAGGGTTAAGGCTATCGGAGGGTGATCAGACAGGAAGTGATCAGACAGGTAGTGATCAGACACAGTTCGTGCTCTTGATTCCATTTGGTGACCTCTGCACATTAAGACAGGACCAGACTCTCCTGTAATACCCTGATAGGTGAACAACCACCCTCAAGGCTCACGTGCGAATCATGCCCAATTGAACGAACGCCGTACCCACAGAACAACTGACACACGTGGAAGGAAAAATGAGTCAAGTACCTTTGCAGAGAAGAGAGAGGATAAATCGGAAAGAAGAAAACCACAAAAATCACTCCAAAAGCACTCAGAAGTGTGAGCCCAGTGACACAGCAAAGCTCTGGACATGGAATTGACAGCCGAACGCACACATAGTTCCGTGAAGCGCTTTGACAAACCTTTTGGTGATGCCCGTGGACAGCGGTCTGGGCTGGAACGAACGCCGTTGGGAAGCTCTGCGTTCATCTATTTTGGCCTCGCTCTTCTCCACGGCGAAGGTTTGGATTCGCTTCCTGATGCCAATGTTCAGCTTTTCCTTCTCGGAGCCAGTCTGCGGAGAATCCGATGTTTTTGGTGGGGAGCTGGCGGAATCCAGCAGCAGGCTGATCCGACTCTTGATGATCCCCCCAGACCCCGGGGTTCGGCTACCCTCCCGTTTCCTTCTATCATCAGAGGAGAAAGAGGACCCTTCATCCTCTCGCTCGTGGCTCGAACTCTCTTTCTCCGGTTCTCTCCTGGTCCAAGTCATTTGTTGGTCAGTTCTCAACATGTCAATGTCAGCTTTGAATGAGGTAGTAGATTCTTCTAGTTTGTCCCTGACATCTGCAGGGATTTTGAGGTCGTTTTCAAACCCAAATATTTCTTCTCTGGAGGTCAGTTTCTCTGGGTCTTCCCTCCCATTCAGCCTCAGCCCTTTGGTGTCCTTCGCATTGTTCTCAGTTTTGGGGACATTAGTGAGTTTTTTTTTACCAGTGCAATTCTGAGCATCGCTATCTCTGCGGTCATTCAAAGGAGTCACAGCCCATTTGTCAGTCTCCCCTGGAGGCTCCTCTTGTTGAAGCATCAGCTCACGTACCTCGCGTCTCGAGTCTGAGGCCAGCCCACTGGTGCTCTTGACTACGGGAACATTTTCCTTGCTGTCCTCCGACAAGGCTACAGTTTTTCTGTGACCACCGGGTCCTACAGCTTCAAAACGTGCCGTGAGGTCCATCGGCAGGGGCCTGGGTTTCTTAAGCCAGGTTTTTTCGTGACGGACAGAACCTGTCTTATCATCGAGGTTCACAATGGTTTCTGGAGGGGAGACGGACTTCTGGTCATTCGTGGTTCCTGGAAGCCAAGTCGCCAAGGGTCTAGATTTCCTCATGCCAGTCCTGGAGGGCACTGGGATCTCATTAGCATCTGTTTCTTTATCCGTTTTGCCCTTATCTTCCTCTGTGACCCGTTCAGACATTCCTAGAAAAGCCAATGAAGCAGCTTTAGAGGGGTATTTTGAGGTTCCGGGTCCTTGACTTGTACTTGGACTGTGCTTTCTGGAAAGTGCGGATGGTCTGGAGAGGATTAAAGATCTAGGGGTCCCTTGGGACTCTTGATCTAATGGAGAATCCCCCCTGGTCCTTTGTCCACTCTCTTTCTCCCATTCACTCGGTTGCTTCGATTTCAACCTCTGAACATCAGACTTTTCTAAAATGACTAACGCGATTGGCTCGCTTTTGGGTTGTTCGTCCTTCTGCTCCGCGAGCCCTCCAGTTTCCGAGCGTGAAACTACCATGGACTTGGGCGAAGAATAAGACTTGAGCAGCAACGTTTCCTCTTTATCCTGAGAATCCAATGGCCTGAAGAAGTGGCTGGCGTCAGATCCCGATGAAGTCCTTTGGCCAAAGGAAGACAGCAATGAAGACACAGTTCCACTTGGTACAGATTTGGCAGCTGTGTGTCGGATGCCTGACTCTCCAGTCAGCTTCTCGGGCAGCAAAGACTTAGAGCCAAGACTGATGGGCAGAGGGTCTATGAAAGGTGGCTTCATCTTCCCTCCTGTTTCGTAGAACGCGGATGGTTCCAGACTGAATGGTTTGGGAGATAGCCGTGGTTTGGGGCCCGCTGTGGGTCTAGTCAAGAAACTAAAAGTCCTACTCAGTTTGTTATCATTCTCTAAGATGAGGGGGCAGGATGGTTCAAACGCTTTATTGCTGGCATCCGAAAGAGGGCTCATGTGAGTCCGTGGAGATTTGGTCTCGTTGGGGCTGTCGCTCAGGAGTGTTGCCGGTTTCCCTTCCACTTGCGTGGCCATGGCAGGTCGCCTCAGGCAGCCATCATCCCTGCCGTCGCAGTCCCCTCAGCAAAGTCAGAACCTAGAAGAAGAGATAACAATGCTGATAACAGGATTGCTTCAATAATAATAATAATCCTCGCATTTGATACAGTACCACTTCCTTTTTATTTCCCCCAGCGAGTTGTTACCACTTGGAACGCACGGCCTGAAAGGCTGATGGAAGCAGATTCAATAATAGCTTTCAAAAGGGAATTGGACAGCTACTTGAATAGGAAAAATTTGCAAGGCACTTGCAAGTAGGTCTAGTTGGATAGCTCTATCAAAGAGCCTTCACAGGCACGATGGGCCGAATGGCCTCCTTCTGTGCTGTAAGATTCTATGTTGTTGAGAATATACTGTAAAGTGAATTGACTGTATATTTTGTGGGCGAAACGCAGCAGGCAATTGCCCTCCACAGCTTCCCAGTCATTGATTGAGTAAACACATTTTTTTTAAAAGGTATTATTACCCCCGGAAAGCGATCCACCGATCAATAAACAACCAGGTTCCTACTTACTGCTAGGTAAACAGAGGCGTATGAAGTAAGGAAACTTGCCTAAGTTTTCGTCCTGACCGGGAATTGAACCCAGGTCCTCTCGCTTTCGAGGCGAGCGCTCTAACCAATACACTGCAGGACTCCACTGGGTACAACTAGGAATATTTTTAATACGTAAAGAGAAAAAAATCCCCAAAGCATTGGTATCACACAGGGCAAATGGGCTTCTTCTGTGCTGTAAATTTCGATGGTTCCAGGTTTAAATGCAAAGCCCAACGCTGCAGGGCCCGTGTGTGTCACCAGGTGGCGGCACAATATAATGTGACTGCACTAGAAGGCGAGACAGTGTTTTGGGTCAATGGAAGTTGCAAACGTGGGATATTTGTGTGGAAAATTATTTACGTTTAATCAACGTGAAGTGGATCGGAAAAGCTCGATTGATGAAACATTCAGCGACGCGAAAGTGGGCGACAATGCACAAAGCTTCCACCAGCTTTAACCCCTACCCAATGGATCAACAACAGGAACTTGCATTTAGATAGTTCACGCGGGTTAGTGTCTCGGAGCACAAGACTCGATGGGTTTAAGTCCTGGTGAACGGCCAACAGCCGTGCCTCCTCCTTGACTCAAAGACTTAGGACAAGGGTGGGCTCTTATACAACTAACATTTGGGACACTGTGCTGGGCCAGGGAGGTGCGGAGAGACTTTACAGTTTGTTTTCTGGAAAGCCATCACCGTGCTGTGTTCTCACCTGTGCTGGAGTGTGAGCCTGGACCGTGAGCTCAAGTCCCAACGCGAGGCTTGAACTTAAAACCTTCTGACCGAGAAGGGACAGTGTCATCGAATGAAATTGCAAAGAGAAGTTGCCGGTGACTTGGAGGAAGGACACAGCTGGGTGTGATTCTCATGCGCCTTTACCCAAGGATTCAGCGCAAATTGCATTCAACAGGCAGGAAGTCACCAGCAGCCAGACCCTTCCACCAATTCAGGTTCGGAATTCCAACCGCCCAGTGAAAAGGAAACCTATTAACATGAGGGCCTCGACTTCCTGTGGACAGCAATAAAGCACTTGATGCAGGTCAGCGGTGGCTTCTGCAGGTTTCTTCCTCCACGACTGGAGTGGAAACTCCGCTTTCAAAGCAGAACCACACTCAACGCCACTCAAAGATGTTTATTTACTGAGTATAGCGCTGTTCAAATAAAAGGACTTCTGAAAGAGACCAACTAATGTAGTGGCGCAGATCAGGGAGGGGAATGACAGATATGAAGGTAATAATAATAATAACCCTTGTATTTAATGTAGAGCCTTATCATGTCATTGAGATGTCTTAAAGTGCTTCACAGCATATATACTGTAAACTGTAGTGACTGTACGGAATGCAGCAGCTAATTGCACACAGGGTTGGAAAGAAACAGAGGTAGCGTTTAGCGAGGCGGAGGGATTTCTGGAGGGAGTTCTGGAGAGTAGTGGCTAGAAGTGAATCAGTGAAAGGTGGTGGGCCAGAGGGGGCGAGGGACAGGAGGGAGACGACAGTGGGGGTCGATCTGCTGGAGGACGGGGAGCCAGTTGATCCTGGGGAAGACAGGGATGATCGGAACAAGGAGCCTCGTGTGGAAAAGGACAGGGGCTATTGGAGCTCTGTGTGAGCTGGGGCTTGTGAGGGAGTCAAGCAAGGGACGCCGGCGAGGAGGGAGAGACAAGTGAGCGAGTGAGGGTTTTGGCTGCATTAGGGACAAGATTGGGGTCAGAGAGTCATGGATCAGATGTAGGGCTTTAAAGAAACAGCACCAAGTGTGAGACTTAGAGAAGGTAGAAGTCGTGATTCGGTGAAGGTAAAGTAAATTGGGTTTTTCATGGCTGTGGATTGCAGGAGGAAATTTACACTGGGAACAAAGGAACAGGCCATTCAGCCTGTCAACTCCAACCTGGCAAATTATTAGATTGTGACAAAGGTTTTAATCCTATTTCCCCACATTTTCTTCATCCCTTTTCATAGAATCATACAGCACAGAAGGAGGCCATTCAGCACATCGTGTTTGTGCCGGTTCTTAAAGAGCTATCCAAATCAATCCCGTTCCCCCGCTCTCTCCCCATTGCCTGCAAACTTGTCCTCCCCAAATAATTATCTTATTGTCTCTTAAAAGTTGTTTTCGAATCGGCTTCCACCACCCTTTCAGGCAAACGTTTTCAATACATTTTCATCCACAAATTATACACCCGTCTCCCTGTTACACACCCACATTAACCTGCCACCCACGGCCTCCTGTGATTCAAATTTTCACACCCTCCCGTGTGACGGAACATTTTCAAAATCTCTGATGGCTAATGGTTAATATTCCATCCCCTTGTTGTTAGCCTTCTATTATCAGAGGCAAGAAGTCATCGACTTTCAAACTTGCCGATTGCCTTCATTGCTTTGAACCCAAAGATAGGAAAGATTATCGGCAGGCCTGTTTGGCGTCTGAGGAAAGGTTAACTCATTAAAATGTCCTACTTCCTGGTTCACCTTGCTTCGGACTCGCTTAACCATTCGTGTCACGTCCACTAACTCTGGCATTCAGCGCATTCATCAGCTGGTGCAAATGTCAATGGGCCGGATAGCAAACAGGAAACAGCAGAATGCGCAGCAGAGATTGACAGGGGGTGTTGGGGAAGCTCAGTCATCCTGGAAAGAGTGAGACCCATAAACAAAGAGAGACTCGTGTACAGGGCTCAACCAAACTGGTATTGATCCATACCAACACAAACACCATGTTCTCAGACTCCGAACCCCTGCGATTCACAAAAACCTGTAGCCACACACATGTCTCACCTCCAATCTTTACTCCCCTCCTTTAATACACCATCACAGGTACCGTATCAGACAGTGTATACACCAGCCCAGCAAGCAGGAGGTCAGACCTCACATAACCTGGCATATCGTCCCATCCAGGTCAAGGCATCACAAAATCCTGGGATACACAGTGACCTCCATCCAACCTGCATTTTATATTGCGAATCAAAGTGACACACGATACTCTCAAAGAATTAATCTTATAATTTACCCGCATGGATGGTACGGGACTCACCCACTGTTAGGCTTGTGTGCTATGCTCACTATGTCCTCTCACTGTGCTATGTCAGGGAATGATGTCTAGGACGGATTGTGACATTTCGATACTACATTCACCTCCTCCTCCTTCAGGTGGATTCACTGAGCACATACATAGGGAGGTGTGGCTGCTTCCAGTGACAATGACGGATAATTGAGGCGAGGTGAATCAATCTGGTAAATGTCAGCACTGTGTTTTGGTAGAGATCTAGGCAGGGCCTCAATAGGGAGGCACTTGACAATACGTCAACAGCCAAGTCATTGCAGAGAAATCTGTCACATTAACACGATCGCTTCCCACAGAAACATTCCAAACCCCACAACAAAATATCCGCTCAACAACAACGTGTCTTTATATAGAAACTTTCACCTCGAATAACATCTCATAGCACATGACAGTGGGGACAAATGTGGCGCTGGGGGAAATGGAGAGGTGTGGTCAAGGAGATAGGTTTTAAGGCAAGACTTGAACGTAGACAGATTGTGGTGCGAGTAGGGCAGGGAACTTGTACGCGAGGGTGTGGACCTTGAAATCAATCCGCTGAGAGACAAAGAGTCAATGGAGCCTGGCGAGGCCTTGGGCGATGGGCCTTTGGACCAGGTGAGGATGCGGACAACATTGTTGTTTTGACCATCCACTGGTCAAACTGGCCTCTTGTTCATCTATCTAAACTATCCTTGTGCTGGTGGGGCAGTGAAGAGGGATCTTTGCTGTGCTGACAAGGATTAACAAAAATAAATAATTAAATAAAGCAAAGATTGGCCACTTGGCCCAACACGAGGAGCTAAACACCTATCAAGTCAAAGGCCGGTAGCTCAGATGTTACGAGGCCTGTAGTGCAAAGCAACATAGGACATTTAACACTTCACCAATTTCCTTCACAGCCCTAAATCCACAGGGGCTCCCACTGAATGTAAGATTAACTTACAGAAATATTGTTTTTAAAAAGAAAGGGTCTAAAGGAAAGCGAAGGCCTGAAAGCCGCCTTTGTGTCAGCGTCTGGGGCTCGTGTGACACTCTGGGCTGCTCTAATTACACTAATTATATAAGAGCCCAAGCCAGCCTAGTGCCAGGCTGTAATGTGGTCTCTATGGGAACCAGAATCAAGAGACCTTAAAGCTGTGTTGACCTAGGTTTTCCCTCCCCTTATTCCATCTTAGAATTCTTCCCCCTCTTGGCAGACCCCCCTCCCTCCCGTACCCCACCCCCACCCCCTCAACAGCAGAGAACAAGAGTCCCACCCTTTCAGACGAGTGACAGACATCGATGCTGAAACTGAAGGATTGCAAGACCTGGAGCATCGAGGATTGGACCTCAATTTAACGAACGTCTCATCTGAAAGATGGCATCCTTGGTGCCCAGTACTGCACTGGATTGGGAGCTCAGTCTAACCGTTAGCCAAGACCGGGAGCTCATTCTTAGTATCAACCTACACAGAGATTAAACTGCATTCCCTTTAGCTGAACTAAGGCCTCAGGCAAATAGCCCAGAGATTTAATTTGAATACAACTCATTTGAAGCGGCTTATTCCTGTGCACTCAAACCCACAGTTTGACCCTAGCCATTGCAATAATCTCCAACATTATTTCCCCTCCCCCCATTGTACTAATAATCATTTGGTTTTTCTTCCACCACAATGGGCTAAAAATAGCCAGAGATATACTGGGCAGATGACTCAATAAACTCAATGTTTCAGGTGGGAAGTAACAAGGTTGGAGGTGTCGGTGTGGCTTAAAGGTGCCTATCCCATGCGGCAATCCCCAGCGATTACAGTGACTCACTCTCCAGCACTCTGTGGTGGTGTCAGCCTGATGCAGTCTGCAACTCTTTCACCTCTGGCTCAAAATGTTGTGAGTTTCAATCCACCACTGTTTGTGGGATACTGCTGTGCGCAATTGGCTGCCGCGTTTCGCCCACAAAATACACAGTCGATTCATTTTACAGTGTATTTGGTGAAGCGCTTTGAGATGTCTCGAAGACGTGGTAAGGCGCTGTATCAAATGCAAGGATTATTACCCCCGGAAAAGCAAACCGCCAATCGGCTAACAACTGGGTTCCTACTTACTGCTAGGTAAACAGGTGTGTGGAGTAAGGAAACTTGTCCAACGTTTCGCCCTGCGGAATCAAACCCAGGTCTCTCGCTTGTGAGTCGAGTGCTCTAACCATTACGCTTCAGGACTCCATAAGGTAGTTACTATGGGATCTAAATAAGTTGCATTTTAGACGAAGTGAGATAGACACACAAGGAAGAAAGGAGGGAGTAAGGAGTGGATGGAGAGTGGAGTAGATGGAGTACAAACACCAGGATGGACTAGCCGGGCCAAATGGCCTGTTTCTGTGCTGGAAATCAATCTAAAGTTTATTTAATATTTAGCTAGTTACTAAATAACAGTAAATATTTATATTTCACAGTAAAGTCCTGTGAATGGATGTTTGAGTTGTCTCGACGATGTGATAAGTCACTGTGTCAAATACAAGGATTATAGTATATATTGGAGTGATATTTGGAAGCGATAATGTGCATCTGCGAAAATGTCCAGCCAATCTGACAGGCAGGCGAGTGATCAGGCTGTGGTGTTTGCATGGTGCTTTGCTTGTTAATTTGCATGTTATGGACGAGAATAAGATGGATTCAGGAAGCAAACAAAACCAACAGTGAAAACCATATCAGTTCGGTTGTCCGTGTTTTGGATGCTTATCTGGTAGAGATTTCCAGCCAACTGTGTTCTAGAGCAATAAAGGCACCATGTAGCTTAGTGGTTAGAGCGCTCGCCTCACAAGCCAGAGGGCCTGGAGGGGCACATTTCCTTACTCCATTCACCTAGCAGCAAGTTGGAACACGGTTATTAGTCGATTGCTTTTCCGGGGGTAATAATTCCTTCAAAAATAATAATAATTTGGTCACTCAATGCATAACTGTTTGTGGGACGCTACTGTGCACAATTGGCTGCCGCGTTTTGCCCACAAAATATACAATCAATTCAAGTTACAGTGTATTGTATTCTGTGAAGCGCTTTGAGATGTCTCAAAGACGTGATAAAGGCTCTATCAAATGGAAGGATTATTATTATTAAATGTAGTGATTGTGTAATGTGTAGGCAAACGCAGCAGCCAATTTTGCACAGTAACATCCCACAAACAGCCATGAATTGAATGACCAATTTTATTTGGGGGAATTTTGGCCAAGACATAACACAAAAGAAGGTGGAGCCACAATGCTGGGGACTGAGGTTCAGGTGAATGTTAAAAGATCCCACGGCGCTATTTGAAAGGAGAAGGGAGTTTCTCCCAGGCTCCTGGCAAACAAACCTGCAAATAAAATTGCTCATTCACTTCATGGCTGTTTGTGGGATTATTGCTGTCCACAAACTGGCTGGCACAAAGTAGTCATTACATTACTTTAGTGCACTCTGTGAAGCATCCTCCCAACATGGAATAAAATCGTAAAATCGCCATATTCCCACCCTAACCCAATGACAGTTCCAAATTACACAAGGACTCCCAACAGTTAATACAGCAACAACAAATTGCATTTACTATAGCGTCTTTCACGTTGTGATGACTACACACGGCAATCAGTTAAACAAATCAAACTCAAACAAGTTTTACCGGAATCTTAAGACTGAATGAGACAAGAGAGAACAAACAGAAAGACACACAGACATACATCTAATCAAAATATCTTGTAATTCATTACAGTGGAAAAGGCAGGGATTGCGGGAGTGAGAGACTCCGCAAGGGGTTGAATTACCTTCACTCCACTCCACCCCAAGCAATCACTCACTCAACAGCAGAGCGTCAATATTTAGTCCTTTCTTCCTGGTTCCCACAGTAAAGGAGGGGATGGGGTGGGAGGTGAGTTGTACGCTCTGCCCGTCACATTAGAACACCTTATTTTGGAGGCCACTAAAGCCACAACACATTATTCCACTCCCTCCCTCCCTCCTTCTCCAGCAATATCTAAAGCTGAACACTGAGAGACTGTAAATTCATACCGTCTGTGCCTGTGTCTTTCAGATTCCTAAACAGAACAATCGGAGGAGCACCGGCCTCCCGCTACTGTCTGTCCACCTCCAGACTACCCGTCGCACGAGATCTCCAACCAGGATATAACCTCCAAGCTGTCCCCTAAGTCTCTGATCACCTCCTGTAAAATGACTTGACTTGTGCAATAGATCGCTTCGATAATCAACTCATGAGTCCCACACAATCCCGCCCGCCCATCACCGCCCACTTATGACTCTGTGCAAGGACACTTGTAGCACAGTGCAAAGTTTCCGGTAGTTTGCGTGAGGAATGACTGCAATTAAGATGTCACAGGTTCCAGGAGGCAGGCATCACATCAAGATGGCTTAACATATTCCAGCTTCGCTTCCAAACCAGAACCACCACAAAAACGTCTGAGCAACCAACCGGGCTTCTTTACAAACCAAAATGTTTTTTTCTTTCATTCACTGAAACCGGTCAAATGTCTCTGTGTCTGTGCTTCACTGCCACTTGCTGGACTTGAACCCCAGCCAAGTGTTGGAAGTGGCAAGTATTAACTCTATCATTGCCAAAGAGAGCTGAGGAGAGAGAGGCAATGTTGGAGGTGCTGTCCTTGGGATGAGACGTTAAACCGAGTTCTGTCTGTCTGCTCGGTTAAGACATTAAATCCCAAGGCACGATTTGAAAAGAGAAGAGAGTTTTGACCGGTGTCCTGGAAAACAATCCCCCCAAATAAAATTGCTCAAGCCTGTTGTGGGACATTGTAGGGAGACGTGGCAACACATTTGTACGCGACAAATATACACATGCGAAGCAATGCCCAACAAAGACCTTTGAGATCTCTCGAATGTTGCATAAAATACCAGGATTATGATGGTGTCCAGGACACTTGGCTGAGCAGATTTCGAGAATTCTGCCAATATTCTGCTGTTACACTCGTTCTCCTCCGAGTGTTTTCTCCGGATTCTTCCAGGAACTGACTTATAATCAGCATCTACATACTTACTCCCTCACCTCTCCTCTTTAGCCTAAGGTATGCACATCACAGTACTGTCATCGCATGTACCCTGCATCTCACATAATACACAGCGCTGTCTGTTCTATGTGCTCTGTATCACTGCATTCTGATGTTACTGGAAACTGTGAGGTTATTGTAATGATTTAAAGGACATAAGGACATTTGATACACCGTTGGAAACCTGAGATCTTGCAAAGCCACCGTGCGAGGTCAGAGGCTGTGACTGTGTCGAGTCAGTCAACGTCTTATCTGAGAACTGAGCAGGGTTTAAAGTCCATAAGAGCAACGCCCATGCTGAACACACAGACAGACGGGTGCAGCGTCACTACCCTGGACGCACACAGTATATTGTCCGGTTGCACACGGTTAGTGTGAGTCCAGGGGGAACGGGGTAATTGGTGAGGTGTGGGAGAGGTGATTGCAGGAGAAGGGGCTGGGGCTGAGGAGTAGGGGCAGGGATTGTGGGGTGGGGGAGAGGTGGGAATTTGGTCACTGCTGTGCACAATTGGCCGCTGGGTTTCACCCACAAAATAGTCAATTCACTTTACAGTATATTCTGTGAAGCGCTTTGAGATGTCTTGAAGACTAGACGTTATGTCAATTGCAAGGATTATTATTATTAATGTTTTGTGGTTTTAGCTGGTTGGACTCCAGCAGTACCCAGCAACTCACTCTGCTCCCCACCCCAAGCCTCATCTCTCGCCAATCTGTGCCTAATACTTTCCGGAATTAGGTAAGCAGGATGCATCCCTCCAGACAGAGAGAGAGAGTGCTCATTCCATTCCACCAACCTATCTCTGGACTTTCCATGTGTAGGCGGGATGCATGGAATTCTGTTTGGTTTGCAGACTGTTAAGCACGGTGATGGATTTCCGCACGTGAGGTTGTGGAAGTCAGGGAGCCAGGTACCAAAGCCAAGTGTTGTTGGGGATCATACAAGTGACTTCTATTCAATGGGAGTCAAAATAGTCCTCAGAATCTGAAGCACAGAAGCCACAGCAGCAGGATAGCCCTGATACCTTTGCCCAAATATCCCACACTTCATCTAAACACTAAACTAAAAACTAGACAACTAAACCTGGCCCACAAGAGAGCTTGGAGCTTCTTCCGAACCTGCCCATGAGTCTTGGGGTGCAGTCAAGTCACCAGCAATCAGCAGTCTACTGGATCTGCAGGAGTCAATTGGAAAACAATGCACCTCAGTACAGCAAAGTCAGTCTACACTATCCCCAGTAATACGCCTCAGTATTTTGCAAATTTTAGAGCACGGAATGTTTCACAGAAATGTGCGGGGTTTCTGTCAAATCGTTAAGAATCCTCAGTCTCTCTGCCAAGTGCAGTGAATAACACGAGTCTCTGAGCCCAGACACTGAACCGCTCACTGGAGTCTTCGCATACTTCTGGGAAGGAATGAAATGCGTGTCGGTGAGGGAATCCCACGTGGACATTCTCTGCTGGGAGGAAGAATGCACCATTGTACTGGTCAACACTAGTCTGCAGCTCAGACATGAGTATATGCATTGTGTGTGTACAAGCAACATGTGCATATGATGCAGAATGGGTACATGCAACAAAACAACTAACATTTATATAGGGTCCTCCATGTAGGGCAATGTCTTCATAGGGGAAGGGGAGGTCGCCATGGGTGCATTCAAAGAAGTAGGGTTTGAGGCATGACTTAAAGTCCAGAAAGAAAGGGGAAGAGACGGAGTGGGTGCGCTATGAGTTGAGGGGGCAAGCAGAGGAGGGTAGGAGATCGGAGAAGGGAAGGGGGTGTGAGGGAGTGGATGGATTTGTCGGTGAGAACCTTGAAATAAGAGCATGTGAGTTTGGGTATGTGTAGCATGTGAATGCAGCCAGCTTCTGGGTGTATGCACGATCAAATTCAGATCGCCTGTGCGCATGTATTGTGTGTGTGAGAGAGAGTGTGGTATTGTGTGCATGTGCACATAGACAAATGTCCATTCTCTACATGTACAGCCTCGTGGGGAGAGCACTGCAGGTTATTTCTCTTTGCTGCATTTCGTCCACAAAATACACAGTTAATCCACTTTACAGTATATCCAGTGAAGCGCTTTGAGACATCTCAAGGACATCATAAGGCCCCATGTCAAATGCAAGGATTATAACTGTGACTCTGATCATCTCTCCACCCCTTCTCCCTTCCTTGCTGTCCAACCCTGCCATTGTGAAGGACTCAAAGACACGATCCTATGTGATGGGTGCAAGTCGTTCTTGTTGATTCCCCTCTGTGTAAAGCTGCTCAATAAATAATTAAGATGCCGCAGTTGAATGGTGAGTGAAAATGTAGTCCAGTGTTTCAGAATGAAGAAAGCACATCACTGCTGTGGATTCGCAGCCTATTAACAGTGCCTCTGAGGATCGAGTACAAGAGGAGCTCAGTGCTGCCCACAGCACGCCTGCTCAGCTGGATCAGCAAATAGCTGTGGAAACAAGCCACAGAATAAACTGCAACCTCTGGCAGGCAGAGAGACCAGCGAGGCTTAACCGTGTCACTTACAGATCCGCACTAGCCCCTGTGTCTCGACCTGCCATCTTTACGTGTCAGCCTGGCGCAGTCACTAGCACTCTTGCCACTGACTCGGATGGTTGTGGATTCGAGCCCCATGTCGGGACTTGGAACTCCCCATAGACTAGGCTGAAATTTTCACTGCACGGGAACTTTCAGTCTGGTTTGGATAGACTTAAGCACGGTGATGGTTTCTGCATGTGTCGGACACCTGGCTGAAAAATGGACCCTCGCTGTGCTCACACAACTGCCTACAAAGCAGTCAAAACATTTGACAGCAATTACACTACAATGCTTTGATCCGATAAGACACCATAAAACTCTCTTGTGCAGTAAACGGTGGAGAGGTTCTGAGGCGGATTTCTGACCCGCTTTGTTCACTGCACCAGTGTGATTCTAGCATCCTTGGTTCTGTTGTCTGGGACATCGCCCGAGTCTCTCCAGTAGATCCCCGTCTGTGACCCGCTCCGATATCCTTGTAAAAACACCCACATTCCAGCCTGTAGCTCACTCCTGATAATCCATTGTTCTCTTACAGAAGCCTCACAAAACCTCATCTCTGCCCAGGGCCCGTTACCCAGGAGGAAGGCTGCAGTGTCTGTCTCTCTCTCCCTGTGTTGATCGAAGCTTGATGCCGGATACTAGCCAGAGACTAGTATCCCCAACTCCCCATCGGGATATCCAGCGCACAAGCCTAGTGCACGGTCCTGGGTAACTGACTTACGTGCGACAACAACTTGCAATTATCCAGCACCCTTCAGGTCAGATAAGCTGCTAAGAATGCACAGGTTATCTAACCTGAAGGGTGTTGTATAAATGCAAATTGTTGTTATCGTGCCAAGTTACCCATCTTAAACTGGAGCTGCAATTAACCTTGTCTGCCCACCGCCACCCCCTCCATCCCCAATCCCCTTACAATAAACTAAACAGCAAGAAAACATCAGCCAGGTCTGCATCCAGCGACTCCCAGCTGCCGAGGCCTTCACCTGGAGAATAGCTGTGGGCAGGATCAGTTTGGCCTCGATGTTTGTGGTGGAACAACAGCTCAACAAAGCTTACACATCACGAATGGTCATTCAGCAAAAGTACTGGAGGACCCCAAAGAAACATCCCCGACATGAGACAAGGGAGGGTGACGGAGAAGAGAAGAGATCTTTTTATGCTACATAGGTTGGACTCTGGAGTACAGGTAAAGTCCTGTAACTCAGCGGTTAAAGCACTCCCCTCACAAGCGAGAGACCTGGGTTTGATTCCCCACAGGGTAAAACGTTGGGCAAGTTTCCTTACTCCACACGCCTCTGTTTACGTAGCAGAAAATAACCCGGTTGTTAGTTGATTGGTGGATCGCTTTTCCAGGGTAATAATCCCTTCTAAAAAAATAATAAAATAAAAAATGATAATAAATTGGTCACTCAATCCACAGCTGTTTGTGGGACAGGACTGCGCACAATTGGCCTCGGTGTTTCCCCCACAAATTATACAGTCAATTCACTTTACAGTATATTCTGTGACGCCCTTTAGATGTCTAGAAAACATGATAAGGTGCTATATCAAAAGCAAGGATTATTATTATAAGTTAGACTCTGTACTCAGTAATTTGCCACAAAGCACTCACTCAATATGAGTTTGCATCAGCGACTTGTGCAGTTTTATAGCAGCTATAAAATGTTGCACTGTC